CGGTACATTTAAATTCACACAAACTGAACTATAACTACACTGGCTTGATTTTCAGTCACTGAACTAAATACTCTTTTTGTCCCAAAAATTATGCACAGGAAAATCACTTACAAAGGATTTCATTTTTTGTATTGATGTTACTAGAACAATAAGTAACAGCTCGACGACTGATGTCACGCATCCTGACAATTTGACTATTTATAGTACCTACATTGCCCACCTCCAGGCACTCTTTTGTTTCTCAATGCATTGGAATGTCGCAAAATCTATGAAATAAGTAAACAGTGGGTGCATCACCTCGAACCTCGCGTACTCAAACAAGCGACGACGTAATGCCTGTCAACAGAGCTAACAGAATCCATTTGTTCAGACTTTGGGCTTAGAGCAATCTCTAGTGTTTAGAGTCCATATCTAGTAGTACCAAACTAGTAATAGTAAACCTAATAAATATAATTGTCATATAAATACACTTCAAATACCTGAAACTATTCACAAATAAATATGGTAACATAATTTTATCAAACGTATGCGTTTGGCGTACGTTGCCACATTACGTTAGTATAGAGCCTGCAGACGGCCCGAAGAAACTGAGTTAATATTTTTTACACCACTTACAACTTATAAAATTAGGAAATCTTATCTGTCTTCAAACACTGCAATACCCCAACTCATTGTTATCTTGAATAGCAGCGATCATTAGAAGTTCAATAGTTCACAGTTGAATTTAATTTCGTTACTGTAATGTATAATGTAATATAGTGTATGATACTGACACCATTAGATACTGGCGTCCCAGGATTTCATAATGTGATAGGCGTAATGAATGGTTATTCATACAGACAACAAAAGATTTCTCTCTTATCGCATATACAAATCGCATCGAAAGCAGTCTATTGAATTGTATGTCTTCAGGCGTATTTCAAATTCGTACATCATTTTTTGGGAGTGGCATCTGTGATGCATGGATATAGCTAATGGTAATGTGATGAAGTCATTTGACATTTACAGTCTTTGGTTTATATTTGACATCCAAATCTAAACATAAAATGTGACCTAATGAGTACCTAAATAAATGACGTCATATTTTGGCAAACGTTTGGTTCGCTCCCATTTCGAGAGTCAATCGCCATTACTAATCAAATAATTTAAATAATTATTTAAATAAAGGCCAGGATAGTATTTATTACAGACTATAATAATTGCGAGCACGGTGTACTTTATCAAATAATTATCACCCTATCTATTGGTATATTTTACATACCTACTACCTACCTTTTAATATTATGCTTGCGTGATCAAATTTAATTTGAATGAGACTATAATTATGTTACACAAAGGTTAATGTCATTTTAGAGGTCAAAGGGTATTCTAAAAATAGATAATGATCCAAGTATTTTGATTTAACTAAAAGGTTTCCGAGTTTTATGTCTCCTAAATGAGGATGGCAATAAATACAGAGTTTATGAAGTACCTAGGTACCTATAGGTCTCTCAAAGACCATAACTAGTAGAATGAGCAGTATACAATATTATAGTGGTGATGAGTCACCAAAATATATAGGTTATTAATATATAACTTGATCTATCATTAAACTGAACAACTTTTGTTTGAAACTTTTCTTCGAAATATGAAAAAAATAGCTTGGACCTCCCGAACAAAAATGCTGAAAAATGTGTCACTTAGTGCCTATAGGAGGTCCTAATTTTTTTTTCATATTTCGAAGAAAAGTTTCTAACAAAAGTTGTTCAGTTTTGTGAGTAAATTACACCCTCAAGAGATTTGTACTTAATTAAATGTAACCGTATATTTGTTATTGTTCAAAATTCTTTATTCATGATACCTATATCATAAAAAGTTCATATTTGTACAATACGACTTAATCATCTACTAAAATTTTACTTTATCAGGCTAACGCCTACGAAACTGTCAACTTTCTGCCATACCTCATTGTTGGTAAGGTAATATAAAATCTATAATCTAATTATAATATGTATTACACATGCGTATTTATCTAATTAAAAGTAATTGTAATAAGTGTTTATCGTAATTTAATACTCATGCGCACGCGATTAGATGAAGAGCGTAACGTATAATTGTCTCAAATAGAAAGGTCACGAGATCGCCGCCTGAGCCACAAAGAAGATATACCTACAGAAGGATCACTTACAATATTTTCGTACAGGTAACAGTATATCATTCTCTAGATTAACTGTATATTATTCGGTAGTCTGTACGTTATCATTTTTGTGTCTTTCTAGTCATTGCAAGCAAGCAGTCTGCATATATATTGTATGTTAGCAAGGAAATGTGTTATATAACCTCGTAACGCCCAAGCTATAAAGAAATCATCGTTGCTTATTTCTTTACGATCTATTGATATCTTAGATATTGTGTGTATTCAGATGCAATATATATCGTGTATGCCTAGAAATGTTTCCGGAAAATTATAACTTGGGCCTTGAATAGGCTCTACCTAGGCAAACATGCTCCAACATCTAACTAACAGGTGAAATAGCAAACAAATGCGGGCCTATATTATAAAAAAATATATCTATTATGTAGTAAAATTTTCGTCTCGTATAGTGAGCCATCTGTACAACCGCGCCGCAATTTGTGTCTGCGCCGGCGCCTAGGTCAATGGGTGCCGGCCTTTGAACATGCGTATACTTGAGTTTTTGTACAGTCAGCCAGATGCTGTCTCGTCCATGAGAATATTCCACCGTGCTCTTAAACTGTGTACAACTATACTCTTCGTTTTTAATGTTTCTCAAGGTATTAGAAAAAATCAATAAATATATGTATGTTAGATGTTGCTTGGAGGAGTCGAGGCTAATTTACAGTAAAAGAAAATTTTCCGCAAGTGTGGATATTTGCTCAGCAGTGTGTGTTGCAGCCGCAAAAAATCTATTTAGGACCTCTGAGTCTTAAGTTTTTTGATGACTTGGAGCATGGGGTAACTAGGAAGCTTCAGCTGCAAAGAATACTAAATCGCAGCAAGTCTTCTTGTCTTAGGTTTCTTAAGAACGTGGTAGAACTACCAACAAATGTTGGATGTGTTGATCGATGGTTCAAGTGGCTCGCGGCTCGCGACGACCTTGACACGCGGGGGAAAGTAATCTGACCAGTTGTTAAGCAACGGAGGTCAGATTCTCGGATGCGCAAAGGATCTTAGCGCTGTATGCCTGTATTGCTGCACCAACAACTGCTAAACTACGTCCTCAAATCAGGAAGACGACACGAGGCTAAAACAAGAATTGGTGATGAGGTAGAACTACCACCCGAATGTGGGCATTGTCGATAGATGTTGATGTCAATTGTTAAACAAAAAAGGTCATATTCATAGATGCGCAAAGGAACTGTATGCCTGTATTGCTGCACCAACAACTGCTAGACTAGAACCTCAAAATTAGGGAGACGCGCAGACTTCGTGAGGCTAGAACTTGTTGTGACGAGGTAGAACAACCACCCATATGTGGCTTTACCGATGGATGCGGCGACCTTGACACGCGGGGGAAAGTGAACCGACCGGTTGTTGAGCAACTGAGGTCAGATGCTGAGATGCGCAAAGGATCTTAGCGCTGTATGCCTGTATTGCTGCACCTACAACAGTGAACTTGGGCTTAGGGGCTACTAGAACCACGAATTATAGATTACAACAAAGGATTTGTGACAAGGTAGAACAACCACCCATATGTGGGCTTTACCGATGGATGCGGCGACCTTGACACGCGGGGGAAAGTGAACCGACCGGTTGTTGAGCAACGAAGATCAGATTCTTGGATGCGCAAAGGATCTTAGCGCCGTATGCCTGTATTGCTGCACCGACAACAGTGAACTTGGGCTTAGGGGCTACTAGAACCACGAATTATAGATTACAACAAAGGATTTGTGACGAGGTAGAACAACCACCCATATGTTGGCTTTATCGATGGATGCGGCGACCTTGACACGCGGGGGAAAGTGAACCGACCGGTTGTTGAGCAACTGAGGTCAGATGCTGAGATGCGCAAAGGATCTTAGCGCTGTATTGCTGCGCCAACAATTGCTTACAAATAGGGAGAAGCCTATACTTCGCGCACCTAGAACAAGAAATTTGTGCCGAGGTAGAACAACCACCCATATGTGGGCTTTATCGATGGATGCGGCGACCTTGACACGCGGGGGAAAGTGAACCGACCGGTTGTTGAGCAACTGAGGTCAGCTGCTGAGATGCGCCACAAACCGTGGACGTATTGCTGCACCAACAGAGATATCTGCTCTTTCTAGATAGTTCTTTCTTTTTTCCTGTTAATGTTTTCTTTGAAATCAACCGTGTTATTACAAAAAAGTTAGACATGGTTTAAGTCGCTTGACAACGTCAAATCGTATGGAAAAGTAATTTAAACACTGTCTAAAACGCTCTCCTAACTTTTTTTATCACGCCGTAACAATCCAAAACAGTAAAGATACAAAGTGTGGAATTATTTTGTTGTGTGATTGCACCGAAAATGAGTAACTTAGTGAAAGTCGAGTTTAATTGAACCAGGGTATCCTTTTTTGTGCTCCCGTTCATTATGTCTCTACATACGATGAATGTAATTAATGTGTATTTCTATGCAAGTTTTTTTTTTATAGGTATGTAACCTACTTACAAAAGTAGTAACTAAATATCATAATTAATTAATTGGGAAATAAGAAAATAAACACTCTTCAATACTATTTTTATATTTACTCATTTGACTCCAAGTATTCTTCTAAGTATAGCCATAATTTAACTCTACGTACAGGTAACAATTTAAGGTAACAACAAACATTTTTTTATATTTTTTTGGATTGATACTTAAAAACTACAACATTAGAGTTACTCACAATTAATTGTAAAATTGAGTTTATTTCACGGTATCACATAAAGCGCTACTAATTTTTATTTTCTATAAGTACATTATTATGCGTAACAATATTTTTAGATCTTCGCTTAGAGACGAGCATCAAGAGATTGAATTTGGCAGGCATCGATTGGGGCATCGATAGCTCAATGGCAGAGCGGTGGGACGATACCCCATGCGGCCCGTGTACGAGCCCCGGTCGATGCAAGTTTTCTTATTTAAATTTTTAATAGTCTATTTCTTAACGAAGTGGGGTCTGAGTGTGGATACTAGGGGTCTGTATTCTCTGTTATCTGGTATTGTGGGTGGGAGCGTGGCGAGGAAGGCCAGGGCTTTCTGGATCTCCTCAGGGACCGGAGGCGGAGTCGGCAGGTGGGCTCCCTGGGGCTGGAAACCGTTCTCGTCCGCTATGTATTGCAACTGGATTTGCTGAAATAGGAATAATACAAAATTAAAGTATTGTGAGCTCTATTCACTTATTATTAGTTTTGCAACTAGATGTTTAGAAACATTAAAATTACATTTACGCTTGGTAAATTTAAGATGCTACTTTTAGACTCAAATATTATTTTTTGAATCCAAAATTGATTAACCTATAAAGGTCAAATTGTTCTTTTTATTAAATTTGGAATAATGTTCTGCGTTAAAATCTATCTTATTAACTGAACTGTTATTATGATTAAGATTCTTCTCGTATTATTTTTATAAATATTTGTATTTCGCGCCTGTTATTGAATGTTATGATAAGACGTGTCTAGACCTACCCCTGCTCCCATTTTATTACAAATCTGTTTTATTTTTTGATAGCATGATGTAATGTAGCAAGATGTCCCGTAAAGTTTGTTTGACTCAGAGAAACGTTTAAGCAGCCTTCTTTAAGTGTAGGATTTTCATATTTTATCAGAATTCTTCACTGCTTTTTTATGAAATCCGTATGATTTGGCACGTCTGAAAACTTCTTATCATGAACATTTCTCCTCAGTGCACGTCGTATACTTGCAGCAGCTGTGAATGTCGATGATGAGACCTACCTGTCCATCAGGCGCCGTGTAGGAGTACTGTCCTTGTGCCACCTGCGCCTCTTGCTCTGGGACACCTTGGTTCTTCACGTACCCCTGCTCCTCCGCTTGGATCCCATTGCCGGTCTCGTAACTGTTACAAAATATTTCCATTTTATTGCATATAGGCAAGAAACACACGTTACGTTTGCGCTGCGCTATCGCATGTATAAGAAAAATCCGATAGTGAAAAGGTTTAACAGACGCATCCACGTCGAGGGATGCGTCTCTCAAGCCGTTGGACATAATAAGGTAGAAATAACTATTGCCCGAAGTCCAAACGCATGCTTCACGCAGCGCAAAAATAACGCACATATGATATATCAACATTCTGTCTAATTTATTGACATCTGATTGAGAAGATAGTTGAAATAATTGAAAGAGTTAAAATACTATTGTACAAAAATAACAAATACAGAACGTGTAATTCTAAAGATTACAGTTGTTTTTGTGTCAGGTCGGTCTACAATTACAGACCCGGAGCCATCAAACCTACACCTGAATAATTTGTGGAGAGCGAGGGTTTACCCAGAAGAAAAAGATTTGTATAGTACGGTCATTGGAATAGGCCATATTTGACAGCTGTCAAAATCATGTTAATGCTTTGACATAAGGTCTATTATTCTTTGTTGACATGTCCTCTAGTATGGGTTTGACAGCTGTCAAATATGTCATATTCGAATGACCGTACTATCTATCTGAAATACCCAATCCAAATCACGTAGTTAGGTATATCTATGACGACAAGATTTTTTAATGCTTCATCTCGTAATGATCGATTACTTTGGTTGCATACATGCATTCGTAATTAATTATATGTGAATTATGTAGGCTAACAGTTGAACGCAAAAATCCTAGCCTTGTGTGTGAATCAATAAATAAAATTATGAATGTAAGAATATTTGCCTTCAAAAAGATTAAGATAGCAAATATATATACAGCATAATGTTAATATTGAAAGATTTGCATAACTCGGTACACCAAATTATGTCTGATGATGTTACAATTGTGAAATTGATGTAAAATTGAGATGCATTAACTATTATTTAAGGATTAACTTCAATCAAGAAGACATTTACTTTGTAACAAATTAGGTACCATTCAATGCAGCTTGTGTTGCATTTGTAAAGAGCAAAACTTATTAGAAATAAAAAAATATTTTTCAGCGAAGAACGCAAGTAATATGTCACTTATTTGTCAGGTATCAAACATTAAGTATGGAATTAATGTCTTAAGACATTGACAATATCATTTAACAAGTAGATAAAACTGCTGTGTCAACGGTTATAGATGGAGATATTTGATTTAAAGATAGACGATAGAATAAAAGTGATATATTTAGGCATTAGGAAAAAATATACAATTTTAATCTATTCAGGTAGATCACACAATGGATCGAGATAAGACGCGACTAGGCGTCGAATTTGCTCAACATTATAGCAGGTAATTAAAAAAGTTCCATGGTGAGGCCCACACGTTGTCTGACAGACGCATCCGTCGACGCAAGTGTCTGTGTTACATCGGTTTTTAGTTTAGGGAATTCGAAATTTCTTTACATTGTACATTCAAATGCGTTAGCGCTGCACTAAAAGTGCGTAGCAACGGACGTTACGCATGAGCCTCATCTATCTTGACGCATCGTGCTGTTTCACGTCTCGTTGAAACTATATCCTCAAGTCTTTCGGTAAGAGCAAAATAATAACCTGTGTGTATTTCACCACTCACCTCCAATTATAAGAGCCATCAGGGTTGATGTTTTGTTCCTGCCTGATGATGGGTATTGGCTCTGTCGTGTACTGCTGCTGCTGTTGCTGTTGCTTTTGCTGATCGAAGGCGAAGTCCTGGTGGTAATTCCCAGTATGGAATCCCGGCGGTGCTCGCAAAATGCTCACGTCTCCAAGAACAGCGCTCGCGGTCAAGAATAATAGTGTCTGAAAAATATTGACATTATTTTAACTTTTTTGCTACAACAAATAATAGTCGAATTATATGAGTAGTTATGATAATTTAAGTATTATTAAAATTATAAAAACTTTTGTCGAGACAATTTTGAACACGTCTTTTATGTGTGATGATGTTCACTGAAATTAAACTCGTTTTAATATGGCTTCAAACTAAACTGAGAAATATTCTTTCGCATAGTGGCTTGTATCGCGCAAATCCTTTTGTTATCTTAAAGCAACGTAACATTTTGACCGCTAAGTTACTTTGTAACTGGTAAACTTTGAAAGGCGCTATGCCGGAAGGTTATTTTCTTTTAGTTTAGATTTTACTTTTGACACTCAAAACTTGGTATGAGCCAATGATAAGAAATAAGCATCCCCATATAGCAAGGAGCAAGGTCGCAATATGTATTTAAAATAGAAAACACTTTTGTATCTCCAAGCAAAATTGCAGACTATGTCCATGTTCTAATACCTCAACCCGATGCCTCAACCTATGTTACTGGAAAAGTTGGTTCCTTATCGCTAGCACATCCAAAATTTACAGTTTCACTCACTAGTTCACTTGTATGTATAATAGTACCAAGTAGGCAATATCACTTACAATGCACTTCATGTTGATGCAGCTGCAGTAAGGTGCACTGTGAATGATGCACTCTGGACCCACCCCTGCTATATATACGAGAATTTTTGTTGCAATTACGTGCCGTCACAGCTTCTGTGTCATACTTTATGGTATTTATGTGCCTCTGGTTACTCGAAGGACTTGCCAGACCCTTAAATGTGTCGTGAGATGGCAGTAATATTAAAATTCCACGCATCTTAATTTGTTGTCCCCGCAGCGGTATTTATTCATTATTATAGGAAATAGGAACAACGATACGAACCTAAAGTTATGCCATGTATATAATTTTGTTTCGTTATATGTTTTATAAAAAAAAGCTAAGAGGAAGTAACGAAACACTTAATAGTCGGACATCTCATAGAAAAGACATCAACGCGTACACATCTGAAACTTATCAGCGCATAAAAGTCGTTAATTTCAAATACCTAGGTAGTATGCAATATGATAGATAATAGATATATGACTTTTGCGTAAAAATATTTTTATGCCATATTAAAAAAACTTACAAACGTTATAATTATTGGCCTTGGTTGATATTTGTTCGATCGGGCGTTTTGGGGTGGTCCATCCGAAGGCAGAAAAGGTGATAATCATATGCCCATACAAGGTTAGGCCCCTCGAAATGGGGGCCTAAATCAAAATGGCTAGTAATTAAACTCGTAGTAATGTATTTCTTACACTATCTAGATCATGGTGGCATACTTAGTTTTTAATTATCTAACCGTAAACTGATGGAACGACGCAAAATAATTCTTAACCTAAAATGGCATAACCTAACTAAGAATTTTGATACGAGTTATAAGGTGAAAGTATTTATACCCGCACACCCACAACGCACTCGCCGAATTTCGGATTCTTTGTATGAAAATCTGTGGAACCTCGAAAATATTGCCGAGCCGCACGCGCCTAACCGAACGGATTCCCCAGCCAGTGCTATTCATAGACTATAATGCTGATGACGTCATCAGCGCACGCGGACAGTGTAACCATTTAAAAAGATTCAGTTTTTGTCAATGCTGCCAGACTGTCCCATTAACATTACCTCCCAGGAAAGTCTGCTGTTCACCGTCCGTGTTCCAGTTTTTCTTTTCGAAAGTTTCGAGGATTTTGGAGTCTATGTCACTCTTAAAGAATAACCAAATGACATTTTCACATTTTGCTTATTTGACATTTGCCACTTTTATTTTAAGCTTTTTTGACATTTTAATATTTGAGATTCCGTCCTTTTAAATTCAATTGACATTCTGTTACCTTTACATTTGGACATTGGGACAAAATGTTTTCTGCTTCTTCTTTGCATTTTGTTACGTTTACATTCTAGCAATTTTACATTTTGCTACTTTGACGTATTGGCATTTTGCCTTTCTGCACATTCTACTTCCTTGAACAATAATATTTTTTAAAAGTTGAAACAGCGGGACCTGTAATATGTTCAAAAGTTTTGTTCCACCGTAGAACAAAGAACGTAGAAAATATTCCGGCCTGTTCTATTGTAGAAGTGATCAGTTGGACATATGGGAACAAAGGAAGCTGCGTGGTGCACGGAGAAAGTTCTGCAGTTACGAAAGTTGGCTGCTTGAA